AAGCAATCACACAAACATTAACATTGAGGTAAGCCAATAAACTTAACACAAGAAACATAAAAGCCAACTTGCTCATATAAAATAGGGTCTAACAATTATCTAACTTTTTTGAGTAATATGTAAAAACGAACTTCAGTGTATCTGAGCAGTACAGAGGAATCAATGAACATGAGACAATCGGTAAAAAGGTAAACGAACTCCCTCGATTTCTTTACTATCAGATCATGTGCCTAAGCTCAAAGGGTTCCGTAAACAGATGCTGTTCCTTCACAAAATATGTACAGGTCTTTCGATTGGCAACTGAACCTGTTCCTGTGTAGAAATATAAACAGGGTCAAGATGGCGGAGAAAGTCTTTTGCTCCTCCTTGTTCTCGCCAGAGCATCAGATATCACCTTCTTGCGCTTTGAAATGTCATCAGCATTCGCAGACTGCTTTTTGGTTTTGGTTGAAGAATTTTTGGTTTGCTTCTCCAGTGCCTCCTTCACCAAGAACTTCAGCCTCCATAATGTGATTTCACTCTGTCGAAGAAAAAATCACTCAATTTCAACTTAGTAAACTATTGGAATTTTTTCCACCTTTTTTTTTCTGTTGCAACATCAGAAAGGGTAAATTCATGTCAAAATGGGTGACATAATCAACATGTGATTCTCTTCTAATGGTTCTCAGTGGAATATAAAAAATAAAAATTGAGGTGAATTTTTCAAAACATCTAAAATAAGAAGGCTTTTTGTGCAACGTGTTCTTTCCTATACCTATGAGGCAACTGGGAATTTCTATGATGAATGAACTTGAACTTATTACATGGAATGATTTTTATAAATAACAGAAATATCTTCTGCATTTGCTTTCTTAATACTAAATAGGGTAAAATCTGTTTGCTTCTATGACTAATAATATTTTTTTGCCCCTCCCTCAACTTTCATTCAAAATTTCCCCCTAATCTTCGTATAGCACTTAAACCCCTCACCCAGTTACCCTGCATAAAAAACAGACCTTTTATTCAGATTTCAAGAGCCAATGCTAGATATTTATGTCCTTAGCTTACTAATATGGATTTGTATTCAAGAGAAAAATAGTGATTTTAGAATCATAATTGCAGTTTTGATAATACCAATAATGGCTGATGTTTCATCCTAATACCAATTTTCTGTGTTAACAAGCCTGTTAACATTTTCATAATATAAAATACCAACACTGATGTAGTTATTGGGATGCTCAAATTGTCTTGCCATTACTATCACTTTCTTATATTGTTGCCTTTTCTTTGTGCCTCCATTTTGCAGTTATGGAAGGAGGGATAAAACGTGAAAGTCGAAGGAGTTTGTTTTATAAAAATACTAGCACGAAAATGGAGCTACACATACTATTTCTTATTAAATATAGTACATGATGATATATGGCTTGTTTTCCTAGGTGGCATCTATAAGCAATAAAACAAAAGATTAATCAAGGTAGAGTGAGTGACCTGAGCGTCAATGTCAATGTCCACCACTTCAGCAGAATCTTGGAAGTTCGGATTGCCCTGAGCAATAATCTCCAATGCCTTGTAAAGATATTCGGGACATAAAGAGGTAAGCCCCGAACTAAGTTTTCTTTTCTCCGTTGTGGACATTTTTCTGTTGAAGTACTTTTCAACTTTAGAGTTGCCCGCAAGTAATTAGCAGACAACTTCCAAAATTAATTAATCAAAGGGGAAAATGGCTTGCAGTAGCTAGTATCATGGAATCTGTTTATATTTTTTTTTCGATTGTCTTTTAAGGTGTCAGTATTAAATATATCCATATGTTTAATGAAGGAAACCTGATGAGTACAGTGTGATTATGTATTGAAAACATATTTAGTCTGCTCCCGATGAGATGCTCAATAACTACAACTGCATCTTCAAGTTAACAAGGATTTTATAAGATAATAAGCTACACCAAACATGGTTAAAGCACAAAGTTAGCAGTCTCAAGACTCTCAAACAGGAAAAGACGAGCATTTTCTAACCATGCAGGCAAGTGAGAACTAATTTTTCTGATTGAGGTGTTAAGAGTGGTTTAATACGAAACTTCCTCAATAGTCTTGCTAAGAAAAAGATAAAAGACGAAATGAGCTGCTGCTGAGTTTTTATCATATCATGCTTACTGTGGACAGTTCACCAGTGCTAATCTTACTTTAATCAAATAAAAACAAAAAAATATCATAACATAAAGACAAGGGAAGGAGTTAATAAACAGTCCCCTCCTCGTGACAGGAAGATGGTCTGTTCTTTAACATGATACGAGTTGTCTTCTCTATGCTTGATTAGCCTGAAATGTGCTCACTCCATATTTCATCCATGTGCATTTGCTGACATAACATTTGCTTATCTAGCAAAGTACAGTTTCTTCATAGTTTAGCAACAGTATCTTCTACATGATAGTTTAATAATACTAATCAATCATCTCTCATTTGATTTGTTTCACGTGCTAAGTTAGCATTTGAGTCTATCAATGTTATCCCGGATCCAATGTCAATAATTAAATACATTAATGAACAAATTTCTTCAAGAACTTAACACATGTTTTTCTTCATATCTTAAAATAATTTAGCGTAGAGATCTCAATATATTATGATAATGGCTGGGAATGGGCTGTAGGAAGTCCCTGCTTAAAGTCTCGCAGCAAACATACAGGGGCTAAAGAGTACAAAATCGACATGATTCAGAAATCAGTATCAAAAGCTATGATTTAAGTCAGTGAGAGTTGACATAACTGTGATTATACTAACAAATCAGGAGTTCCTTCCTTTTTTTTAATTTTGTGTTTTTTTTTTTTTTTTTTTTTTTTGGGGGGAGGGGGCCGGGTTTGGGAGAAGGTTACCTGCCTCTCTGCATCACTGACTCCTAAGTCAATCTACATGCAAATTCAACTTGTTAAGCTGAAACAATAAACAAAATAAGTGTCAATACATTATTCCAAAATTTAACGACTAGACCAAATTATCTAGCTAAAGCCTACTTTAGACCAGCAGCTACTTTGAACTGTTGTGATCAAGATGGGCCTTCAGAATATTGCAACCAAGATAAGTCACAGTTTTGACAAATATACTAAATATGCTGAAATTCTCTAGGTATAAGAATTGATACTTTAACAACCTTCAACCTTATATTTTTCTCCAGGTATAATAAACAGCACTTGAAATATGAAAAGAGCAGATGAAACGTATAACCTCATTGTTTGTATCACTAGCTAATTTTGCGATGGCAGCCTCTTGAGCAATCAGCATATTTGCCAGGGCCTGTTCCTCCTCATATTTTTGTCTTTCTTCCTGTTATAGGAAAGAAACAAGAAGGACACATCAGACGTGCTACAGTGAAGGAATGAAAGTTTTCGCTACTGAACAAACAAAAACATATATTCAAAGAAACCAGAGGTTTAACGTTATTCAGACATAAGAGTTCAAAATGGTGCAAAAAAGTGGGCAGCGGTCTTCAGCAGATACTGATCCTTGCTGAGGAATACCTACTAAAATTAGAAATTGATGAAATGACTTACAGCTTCAACAACTTCAAATAACAGATGAACCCATCTCTCTTCAAATTTTCGCAGCAGTGTTTTAGCCATGACATGAATATCACTTTTTTCCTCATTGTAAGTCATGGCATTTGAGAAAACTAATCTGACATCAGCATATATCTCTCTGACATTCTTATATAAATTGGCCTCCATCTTTTTCCGGATTGTAGAGAAGTCCATGGGCCTCTTAATAATCTAGCATGTGTGAAGACACCAAAAAAACTAATGATTATATAGAGTTTGGCAAACTGCTAACAATAAACCATATCATACTAAAACTAGGATCCAAAAGTTACGAAAATTTTTGTAGGGATTATCGTATGTGCATAAATTTCCTTAATCTAGTATGCTAACTAGGTCTAAATTGCAAAAAACAACTCCAGTTTCTAATATTTGAATATTATTCGTAAGGTATTTTTAATATTACGAAATGCTCAATTAAACACCTTTTACAATCAAGATACTGGAAACTTATCCACGCAGCTCATAATGTTTTTAGAGGACACAATAACGAAGGTACACAGGTCACAAGCCACCTAAAGTAAACAGGGTGAAGTTACAATTTCAACAAGGTAGTTAAGTGAAAGTCTAATAGAAATAGGTGGCATTATTCTGTACTCCAGCCAAATAAAAAGTAGATAGCGTATGTGGTAGATTGTTGCTTGTTGGATTCTTGATATAGAGGAGTATTAGAAATTGGCCCCTGGTTGCATGGGATTAACTTTGAGACAAACAAGGTGGGTTTTACGGGCAAATACCTTTTTAGTTTCATGAGAACATCCCTATTGCTATAGTTGACAGTAGTCACACTAACACCAGATCAGAAAGGGTCGACATGATTAGTCATATAAATCTATTTTCACTTTTACCAGATTTTTCACCAATCCATGTTGTCTAACTGAACTCACATGGATAGGCTCATAATTCAATATGATGCTGATGATTTCCCTTTACACACTTCGACATAACTTGCCTAACCATTGTACTAGAGGTCTACATATCATCAGCGAAAGCATAATGACCAATAACAAATGTAATCACTATATAGGATTATCACTGCCCACAGCATAACTATTAAGTCCCTTGAAGTATTTCAGGATACCTATCAGAATTTTTGAATCGTGTTCAATAATCATCTAATTATGCACAGAAAACATATATTATATTTCTAGCATATCTTTATATCACAATCATCCTCGCGTGCTTTACAATGAAATGCTAGAAGCTGATGTCAAGCATTACCTCATAGTAATCATCAAGGCCAAGACGTTCAACTTCTACAGGTTCCAAAAATGGCTCCGCCCATTCGTGTGCTGAGAGCTGAAAATATATACATTTCTAGTGTTAACAAAAAGCATAAATCTAATAAAGAAGTAGAAGAATGAAAATATGCGACTTCAATAAAAAAAATCTTATCTTGCCTCCTTCAAAATAGTGCCAAACTGGCTCATAACCTCTTGCATTCTCCTGGAGCACCCAGCTTGTCTTCGAACCTCATCAGCCTTATCCTTCAAACATGAAGAAATCCATTTGAGGTTCTTGGGTTTCTTCTTGTACTTGTAGAAATCGGACAACTCTTGCACTCTTTGCTCCAACTGGACACAAATTTGTAAGCAAATAAACCCAACATTACCTTTTTGTTGCGGATTTTTCTGATACTTGTCCCCCAAATCTTAAGTATTTCAAAATAGGGTTTTTTGTCTACATACACACAAAAAATCAATATTCATTAAAGTAACCACCACCACCACCCCCCCACCCCCAATAAATAAATAAATAAATAAAACGGAGGAGGTGGAAGATGTGGAGATGTAACATTGATCCCTCCTCTTCCATCCACCCCCTTGCTTCCTCTTTCATCCCATCTCATACGCCCCCCTTCTCCTCTCCTATTAAACCATGGTTTGCACGGAAGATGAGGAGGGCCGAGGCGAGGGACAAGGGAGAATGGTGGAGGTAGGTAGATTTAGTTAGGGTGGGTGAAGAGGGAGAAGGGAGGCGGATATTTTCAACATTTAGGGTAAAAGTTAAAAAAGTTGCTGTGGGATGGTTAATTGAAAGTTAAATTCACTTATAAGATGGTTTCTATATAAAAAAACTTGAAAGGCGGTTTTCATCGATTTGACTTATTTTAAAGGTGGTTTTCATGAAAAAATCTCTTTAAAATAACTTCATTTAAACACATGTAATTTAAGACATTGGCAAAATAAGTCACACCTTTTACCAACAAGACTTAAAGAAAGTGACGTCAATGACAACAAGACCTAAACAGTGACCTATTTATCAACAAATCATTTGTGATTGCCATTTCTTTATTTAATCGGCAAAAGTAAGGATTTTTTTTGCATATATGCCCCTCATATCTCCTATATTTACAAATTTACTCTCTGAAATCTCATATTTGAAAATATCATCTAACAATTTCTCTCTTTCCACCTTCCCCTTTCCTCCTCCCACTCCCTCTCCCTTTTATTCCTCCCACATGGGCAGAACTCTGACCACGACCTCCCTTACCACCTCGACCCACCATGGCTATTAAGCTAAGAAAAAAGAGTAGATAGAAGAAAAGAAAGAAGAAGAGGAAGAAGAATAATGAGGATTGAGAGGAGCGATAATACTTCATTCATATCCCTTTGCTAACCCATTACATCTCCTATATATACAAAGTTCAGCTAGCGAACAAAACTTTTAACAACCATTACGGATGTCATCCTTTGATTGGTTCTCAAATCATGATTGTTTCGCAACTCTACAATCGTTGCCATCCTAACAGCACCTACGCAGGGGTGCGAAGATTCTCTTCCCTCTCTAGCTTTGGGCTCAAGTAATTGAAATGGGTCATTGTGGATTCCTACAGGGCCTGGTCAATTAACTAACATACGGGCTCTAGCTTAAAGGCTTTTAACCTGATGAGTCCTCCCCTTGACATTGGTGTCACCTCGACCTCATAGGAAGGGAACTTAGAGATAAAGGGGTAAATAATCTTCCCATGTGACCTCACTTTCCTCTCCTCCCATCCATTTCACAAGCAAATAAACCACCCCTTCCTCCCAACCTTCTTAAGCCAGCAATCAAGGATCTTTCAGGCACAAGATCCTCTGTTATCCAGTGAGCAAGAACCTCATATGCAAGTATAACTTCTCCTTTATATGGTTTAAGTTGAGATATGTGAAAGACTGGGTGAAACTTCACCCCCTTTGGTAATTTCAGTCTATAAGCAACATTGCCCTCTCGAGCTAGCACAACATAGAGTCCACAGAACCTGGCTAAAAGTTTATAGATTCTCCGACTCCAGCCGTGATCTGTTTGTATGGTTGGAATCATAGTAGCACATTGTCCTTTACGTTGAACTCACGTTCACCCTGTTTCTTATCTACAAAGCGCTTCGTCTTAAGCCTTGAGAAGGTTGTCTTTAAGCAACTTACTTATCTCATCACGCTCTTTTAATGCCTCCTCCACCACATGAACGTGTGTGGTGTCCGACACGTAGGACAACACAGCTGGAGCATCCCGCCCATATAATGCCTTGAAGGGAGTCATGCCTATTGATGTATGTCAACTAGTGTTTTACCGGTATTCAACCCAACTAAGTCATTCACTCCATTCAGTAGGCTTAAGTCCACAGAAACACCTCAAGTAAGTTTCAAGGGCCTTGTTAACAATCTCCGATTGCCTGTCAGTTTGGGGATGGTAGGCTGAGCTCATGGCTAATCCCATGCCATGCAAACGAAAATTTTTTGCCACATTTGACTAGTAAACACAAGATCGCGGTCACTCACTATGCTCATCAGCATGCCATGTTAGTTGGAAGCAGTGTTAGGGGGGGGGGGGGGGCGCAAAGCATCTTTATGCGCACATGCGTAAGGCGCAATGCGATACGCGCGTCCGAGTGATGCGAGGCGCACACCGCACACATAATTTTTTAATATATGTAATCAAGCGTGAAAGAACATGTTTTTAGAATTTACATAAAAAATATCATGATAAATAATATATTACTACAAAATCACAATATAATGCCTTAATTTCTAAAGCTAACACCCAACGTAGTAGCAAAATTCATAAAATTTTAAATCAAATGTTAAATCAAGATTAATATCCAAGCAAAGGATTAGTAATTGTCCTCAATTAAAGGCTATTAAAAAGGCCCAATGGATTTATTTTACTTTTTAGGATATGAAATATCAAGTATAAAGACTCGATTGAAATGTTAACAAATAAAACTATATGAGGATATGTACTATATGCACCCTACACAAAGTAAGGATGTACGCGAGGCGCAAAAGGTGCTGTTGCATCAGATGTGGGGCGCTTCGACACCGCCCCGCATCGTAAGGCGCATGAGGCGTAATGAGACGCGCGCCCTTGAAAACACTGGTTGGAAGATCCCTTGAAGAATACCTTTGCAACATAAAGTGCGGTGTACAGGTGTTTGAGCGCAAAGAAGTGCGCATATTTAGTCAGTTGATAAACCACTACATAAGGGATTATGTGCCTCTACTTAGAGGCAATCCCTCTACAAAATCCATAGAAATTGACTCACATACCTGCTTAGGAACAAGAAGTAGCTGCAACAGTCCATTTGGTCTCGTAGCCTCCCCTTTTGCCTCTGACAAGTATCACACTCCCGAACAAATCGCCTCACCTGATCATGGGCCACCAAAAACTTACCCGTAAGCATCTTAGTGTCCAATGGTAACCTAAGTAACCGCCTTGGGGTATTGAATGAGAGGCTGTCATCAATTCTTAGCAAAGAATGGATGAAGAATTCATGGAAATCTCGCCTTTATAGAACTAGAGATCATCCACCGGTTATTTGTCTTTCTAACTCATCATAGAATACATCTTCCTTAACCTCTTTCTTGATACATTCCACCCACCTTGGAACAAATAGGGTAATACCAGTGCACTGCTTTTCCAGAACAACCTTACGCGAGAGATCATCTGTCATAACATTGTCAACACCCCTCTTGTATTCGACTCCGTAGTCAAACCCAATCAATTTCCAAAGCCAGTGTTCTGAGCATCTATGCCAATTCGTTGGTTGAGAATGTGTCTTTTACTCTTCTGGTCCGTCCTAAAAACAAACATACTCCTGATCAAGTAAGAACGTTATTTTTTTACTGCAAGCAAGATCACCAGATCTTCATTCTCATAGGTAGAGAGTGCTAGAGCCCTCCCCTTTAGCGCCTTGCTCATGTAAGCTATGGATGACCTTGCTGGGTTAACAACGCACCTATACCAAACCCGATCTATCACACTCCACCTCGAATGGCTCCTCATAATTTGGCATTTTCAACATTGTCGGGGTTATTAGTGCCTCCTTAAGCTTGTTGAATGCATCTTCTGCCTTCAGACCCTAATAAAACCCTCCTTTCTTCAGAAGCTCAGTCAATGGTCCCGCTATACTACCATATGATTTAATAAACCGTTGATAGTAGCCCGTTAAGCCTAAACATCGCGCAATGCTCTCGGCATTATAGGCCTCGGCCACCCCTTAATCACTCCACCTTCTTTTTATCAACTGCCACTCGCATTGATACAACATGGCTCAAGTATTCCACCTCTTGTACTCCAAAACGACATTTGCTTCGCTTTGCACATAGGTAGTGTTTTTGTAGCTCTTCAAAAGTAGCTCTCAAGTGTATCAGGTGTTGCTCCTTTGAGCAACTGTAGACTAAGATATAATCGAAAAACACAAGGACAAATCGTCGGAGATACTCCTAAAAGATGCGGTTCATGAGCGATTGGAAGGTTGACGGGGCATTCACGACTCCAAAAAGGCATTACTGAGAATTCATAACAGCCTTGATGTGTGTCGAATGTTGTTTTGGGTACATCCTCATCGCTAACTCTTATCTGATGGTAGCCCAAGAGGAGGTTAAGCTTGGAAAAGATGCAAGCACCATGAAGTTCATCTAGAAACTCGTCAACTAGAGGGATGAGGAATTTGTCCTTGATGGTGTTTTGATTGAGAGCCTTATGGTCTACACACATGCGCAATTTCTTATTATATTTCCAAACCATGACTACAGGGGCGACGAATGCACTTGTGCTAGGACGCACAATCCCTACATCTAGCATCTCCTTCACAATAGATTCTATTGCTTTTTCTCAGTGGAAAGGTTGTCGATACACCAGCACACAAGCTATCTGCAAATTGTTAATCAAAGGAATTCAATAGTCGCAGTCTCTTGCAGGTGGAAGCCCCTTTGGCTCCTCAAATATGTCTTCATACTCTTCAAGTAAAGATCGCAACTCATGGTCTTGACTGGCTGTATGTTCAATTGAAGCCTCGGTGGAGCAAAGTTATATGTTCAAATAAGGAGAGAGAGGTTGAGAAGAGGGGTAAGGTTAGAGGAGGGAGTAGGGGTGAGGAGGGGACGTTGTGGATTGGGAGGAGAGGAGGAGATGGTGGAGAGAGAGATAGTTGGATTTTTCAGCAAATATTAGAATTTGGGAGTAAATCGGTACATATGAGAGATTTGAGGGGGAATATATGCGAAAAGCCCTTAATTTTGCCACTCAAATAAAAAAAAGGCAACCGGAAATGTCTCGTTGGTAAACTTGATCAATTTTTAACCTCATTGTTGCCGACGTCACTTTTAGGCCTTGTTGATAAAAGGATGACATTTTTTATGTCACTCTTAGTAATTTAGCCTATAGTTTAAATAAGGCCCCCAAATCTCATAAATTGTATCAATTACTTCCTTCATGTTGGAACCCATTCTCTTTAAACCCTAAAAAACTCCGACAACATTAAAGCCTCCCATTATACCTTCATGTTCTTAGAAATATTTAGCTAACAACTATAATGGCCCTCTCTTAGGCAATTAAAGCGGACCAAATCTTTCATTTTTCTCATTTTTTTCATTCCTCTCACGTGTTTTCCTCTTCAGTGTCTACTGTTGATGTTTCAAATTTAATATTGTTGTCTAATCTTCTGATTTTAAGTTTTAATGAAAATCTAACCACGTCGAGTTCATTTATCGAGACTTATTTAAAATACATAATAATAATATAAATATACATGTTTTGATGAAATTGATTTAAAATACTTGAGAATTGGGAGCCAAACTATTTCCTTTACCTCATCAGCTTTTGTTATCATTTCATCGACTTGATTACTGAATCTTCGAGCAACCGTTGCTTCGGTTTCACTCTCTTCGCGCGCACCGCCACGGCCAAGATCAGCG